CTAAGTACTGTATACGCATTTTTTAGGCTTAGCTCTATTGCTTGCTTAATATATGACAGTGTAAACATTATCAAGCTTTTATGTGCATTTAAAAGCAAAAAAAAAAACTTTCACTTTACAGCAGTAGCCCAGAACCTAACCTACTGTATAAGCGGGGCCCTCCTATACTGTACTGTACTTTACAGTAGTTTGATGTGAAGGACTTGTCAGAGTTGCTATTTGAAGATGATGTAGTGCTACTGGAGATTTTGAAAAATTAAAAAACTGTAGAGTTTAGAAGGGTGTGTACAGTAACAGGCAAAAAAATGTTGATGGAAAATAAGTATTTTGTATTAGATATGGGAGGAACATTAATAAATTGAATGTGTTAATACAGGCCTTGGGAGTGGATGCATCCAAGATGAGGTAAATTGAAAAACAGGCAGGAGAAAGATTTTTGTTGAATGAATTGAGGGAAGGTGTGAAGTTGGCATGAAAAGGTTGGAAGCAGTGGAAATGTCTGAAATCAATGTGATGGAATGAAGAAATTAGATGGTATAAAGAATGAAAGAGGGATTATAAAGATATGATAATGTAAAAAGAATAGGTCAATCAATTTTTAAATGGTTGGAAGAAGGTAAAGGGATGGCTAAGGAGAGGTTAAAAGTATGTAAGAGGTAATGAGAGGCATTTAAAGGTTATATCTAGCAATTTTTTTTGATCTAAGATAAAATCATACTGCTTGCCAATGTACCTGTCTGTTGAAGATAGGGTGCAGCATGGTGCAAGGCTACACCAATGGTAATGATCTGAGGATAGAGACAAATTCCTATGGATAAATTAGACAGCCAGTAGAAAATTGCTGCATGCAAAGCTCTTATTGCAAGGCAGTGAGCTCATTACTTTTCAGGTGTGCTTTCAAGTATTTAGGCCATGTTCCCCGTTAAAGAGCTATCTCGCTGGGACTGTGATCTTTGAGAAGGCTGGTCTAGTTGTGGCACCTGCAAGAGTATCCCCTTGATTGGCTCTCAATGAATTTAGGATTGAGAGTCCAACCCTGCTTTTGAGGTGCCCTGGAAAAATCTTTGCGGCTTTCTAAATACCAGACAAACAGGAAAGCAGGTAATACAATCTGTTACTATAGACACTTATTTTTTTGAGTGCAGTTTAGCACCTTCTAGTAGCTATAATAATAGTCCATAAAGTACGTATATTGAAGTTTAGTTTGAGCCCACTGTCCATCTATTTAGGGTAAGATTGGGTGCTTTTAGTGTAGATATCTGGAGCTTGTTTTCACTTAGTTTTGGGCTGTTAAGTGAGGATATACAACTCGGGAAATAAATTAAACTGGGTAAATCAGGCACTTTGTGAGAAGGTACAGGGCAGGGTGTGTGTCCCAATTACCTATGCTCTCTCTTTCATCCTCATCAAAACACATTTACAACATGAATGATGCAAGTAACATTTATCTTAACATTCATGCCATCATCCCCAATACTGATAAAGTAAGACTGGTTTGATATGTTAACTTTGTTATGCACCCAAATACCCATCCTGTGAGTAACAGTCTAAAGATTACTGAGGTATATCATGGGTTCAGGGACTGGGCCTTGGAGTTTTGAGTGAGCATGTTACATTATTGTTTACACAGTGAATTCAGTTGCTTAACCCTTTCAGGGTCGACAGGTCCTCTCCGAAAGTTGTTCTCAGGGTTGTCTAAATTTCAAAAAAAAAAAAAAAAAAAATTTCTTATGAAAAGATATAGAATCTTTTCCCGATCATAATGACACCAAAAGTATGAAATTTGATGGAAAACTTATAGAATTATGCTCTCGCGAAGTTAGCAGTCTCGACGATGTTTACATATTGGCAATTTTGCCCACCTTGAGCCCTATTTTTGGCCAATTTCAATGTACTAGTTGACAAAAATCATAACTATTTCGCTAGAACTCCATTTTTTCTATCGAATGAGTACAAGAAACCACCCATTTACCAATTTCAACTATCCAGTAAAGTGGTCAGAATTTAGCAATTTTGCCAATTTCACACAAATTTCAAAAGATGCCAATTTCCAAATAGGGTCCAGAATAAACAAAAAAAACATTCCTGGCACTAAAATAACAAGTTCTCTGTTCGTTAGTCACATCCCCAGGCCTCTCTTATATTTCTTTGGCTTTCCACTTTGAATTTTTATTCTTACAAAAAATAGAAGAGTTACTGTTATGCAGACTACTGCATTAGTGTAGAAATGGTATAAATAATATCAGCACACTTGTGAAAGAATATTAAACTCGCCCTTTGACGTGTATTGGACGCTTGGCATGATTTGTTTACTTTTGAACTTTGATAAAAATCGAACATTTCTGCTACTTTGCGCTCAATTTCAAGGTACTTTTCATTGTAAAACCAGTCAAAATGACCTCAATTTCTGTAATATGTCTTCCATTCTATAAAATGAGACCAAGAAAACTAGAATACAATAAATACCATACGAAAATACAGTGCAAAGTCGCTGTTTTATTCCAAAAACACGGTCAAAGTTTTTTTTTCTCATTACGCACTGTGTGCTGCAGAATTTTTTTTATACTGCGCACACTGACCACATAGACCCATTCTTTCATATGTAGGCCTACCAGCCTTCTCTCATTAGATTTGAGGGCACTAGAATTTAGGCGTACTAGTACGTCAAAAACCCTGGGTCTTAAGCCATACTAGTACGGCCGATACCCTCAAAGGGTTAAAGTGCTCTTTAATAAAAATATTAACAGTACAGTATTGTTGATAGTTTCACATTCTGCTTAACTCTTTGACTGTTTCAGTCGTATATATACGTCTTACGAGCCACCGTGTTTGACATATATATATACTCATAAATTCTAGAGGCTTCAAATCAAGGAGGAGAAAGCTGGTAGGCCTACATGTGAGAGAATGGGTCTGTGTGGTCAGTGTGCACCATACAAAAAAAAATCCTGCAGCACGCAGTACATGAGAAAAAAATTCTGACTTTTTTTTTTTAATTAAAATGCCGACTTTGTGGTCTATTTTCGTATAGTATTTATGGTTGTATTCTCGTTTTCTTGGTCTCAATTGATAGAATGGAAAACATATTATAGAAATAGAGGTGATTCTGATTGGTTTTACTATGGAAAGAACCTTGAAATGGAGCTCAAAGTAGGGGAAATGTTTGATTTTTGCCAATGTTCAAAGGTAAACAAATGATATCATTTTCCAGTAAATGTCCAAGTAGCCATTCTAATATGAAGTCATGAATGGGTTGACATTATTTATACAATTATTACAATATTGCAGTAGTCTGCATAACAGTAAATCTTCTATTTTTTGTTTGAATAAAAATTCAAAATAGAAAGCAAGAGTAATATCAGAGGGACCTGGAGATGTGACTGATGAACAAAGAAAATGTTATTTTAGAGCCAGGAATGTCTGCATTGTTCATTCTGGACCCTATTTTGAAATTGTCATGTTTTAATTTTCCTGAAATTGGCCAAATTGCAAATTTCTGACCACGTTATTGGGTAGTTGAAATTGGTAAATGGGCAGTTTCTTGTACTCAATCAATAGAAAAAATGGAGTTCTAAGGAAATAGCTATGAGTTTGGTCGGCTGGAATGATGGAAGTAGCGGAAAATAGGGTTCAAAGTGGGCAAAGTCACTTATTCATCAATATCGCCGAGGTCGCTAACTTCGTGAGAGCGTAAGTCCATCAGTTTTCCATAAAATTTCATTCTTTTGGTGTCATTACAATCGGGAAAAGATTCTCTATCATTTCACAAGATTTTTTTTTTTTTTTTTTTTGGGGGGGGGGGGGGGGGGGATTTTGCGGCACCAGGAGACACCTCAGGATTTGGGGTTGCGACAGCCAAGGGGTTAAACATTAAAATTTAGTCACACCCGTGACTATTTCAAGACCTTTACTCAGGCCAAGAGTTTATTTACCAATCTGTATCGACTTTGTCAAAATATGCACTAGAGTGGATGTCACTAGCAAGCTCTTACAAGAACCAGTACTTGCCACAAGTATGTTTTTGCTTTGTTGTGATACACCAGCTGTCTCCCACCAAGGCAGGGTGACCTAAAAAGAAAAATGAAAGATTTTCTTTTTACATTTAGTAATTTATACAGAAGGGGTTACTAGCCCCTTGCTCATGGCATTTTAGTCGCCTCTTACGACATGCATGGCTTACGGAGGAAGGATCCTTTTCCACTACTGTGTTATGTTTGTAGATGATGCAACACTCTTATGCAAATAAAAAATTAAAATGACGGAGTCCCTGCTGGAAGATGTTGATAGGTGAACAAGGGGTTGGTAAATGGATGATGGAATTAAATGATGATAGGTGTCACATAATGGAAATAGGAGGGAAAAAAATAGATTGTGATACAACATTAAAAATATGAGAGAGAGGATGATCCAAGAATATTAAAACAAATATCAAAGTACATAAATTAAATCTTGAGAAAAAACTTGACACTGTATGTGATGATGAAAATGTGGACAAGGTAGAAGTCCAACAATCAGCTTAAAATGGTTCATAGAAAAAACTTTTCTAGTGATGAATGCTGGAAACACTAAAAATACTCACTGGTTGACAGGAAGATGAGATGAGATAACAACATACAAATAATGGCATAAAAGAATGAGAAACTACAATACAGTAGACTTCTTGGCATCTTGATATCAACAGGGAGAATAAGAGGAATAGATATAAACTTGATGAGAGTAAGAGACATGTGCAACATCTGGGTATCTTTATTGTAGACGTTTCGCCATCCAGTGGCTTTATCAATACAAATTCCAGGACATAACTTGAAGACAGTAGAACTATGTACAGAAGATGAGGTAATCAGTCCCTCAACCTAGGAGTAGGTGCGAACAGCACCATAGTCGTGGAGATTCTCCACGAATCTCCACGACTATGGTGCTGTTCGCACCTACTCCTAGGTTGAGGGACTGATTACCTCATCTTCTGTACATAGTTCTACTGTCTTCAAGTTATGTCCTGGAATTTGTATTGATAAAGCCACTGGATGGCGAAACGTCTACAATAAAGATACCCAGATGTTGCACATGTGTCTTACTCTCATCTTGTCGGTATTATATACCATTCGTACACAACAGATATAAACTTGGGGAAAAAAGAAAGTGCTAAAGGAATAATGAAAAGTTTTTCTTCAGTGGTAGAATACCAAAATAGGACCCAAGAGGAGGATGTGATGCAACCACTGGGAAGATTATATGGCAAATTTAACACTGAAACAAAACACTGACCATGCAGTGGCTCTGCTGCTGTAACTAAATGTACAAATATGGGATCACAGCAAAAATGGAAACTCAAATATAGAGTAGAGTTAATAATAAACTGTACTGTATAATGAATCAATCTTACCGTGCATCCAATAGAGGTTTTCATTAAAAAATTAATTCAAGCTACAGCAGTTGTGTATTATCTAATGTATAGTACTATTTAAAGTTATTAGAATCCATTAGTATACAGTGGACCCCCGCTTAACGATCACCTCCCAATGCGACCAATTATGTAAGTGTATTTATGTAAGTGCATTTGTACGTATATGTTTGGGGGTCTGAAATGGACTAATCTACTTCACAATATTCCTTATGGAAACAAATTCGGTCAGTACTGGCACCTGAACATACTTCTGGAATGAAAAAATATCGTTAACCAGGGGTCCACTGTATTCTGAAGAACTGTAGCTAGTGCTTCTGCCCCACACCTGTGTGGTTGCCAGTTTAGATATGCAATACTCCTTTTTAATTTGTTCTTTAATTATACAGTACTATTTTAAAATATCCTTTTGCAAAGAAAAGTGTGACAAGTATGATCTAATGTTGCTATACACTGAGAAACGTCAGGGATTTCGTAAAAGTTATTTTAGCAATGGCAGTTTTATGTCCCAATCAGTATAACATGCAAGTTATTGTTAGAATCATATTATATTCATGTAAGTGTAGTTATTTACTTCCCTCCAGGAGGTGCATTAATGCTGATGAGAGACACTTGATTGAAGTGGAGCTATCCATTCCTTGGCTCAAACCTGACTGCCTTAATTTTCCCCATGCACTGTATGACCCCTATGGATTTAGTGTTCCCCCCCCTGATAATACTATAGTAATTTACTTCTCTAGCAATCTGGAGAAATCGATATAAGCAGATTTTGTGTTAAGCAAACCCCTTTTTCCATAGACACCTATTGTAATTGGAACATATTTTACATACTTTTCCTTTTACATTTGAAGCAAAATAAAATAAAGTATACTGTACTATACTTACCACCAAGACGTCTCTTCTTAAAGAGGCATGCTGGCATTTCTTGATGGCTTAGGGCTTCTTTTTGATTATAATAATAATAATGGCATTTCTTGAAGATGCAAAGCATATGGGTGAATGGAGGGAGTTAGAATTAAGAGATTACGCAAGTAAATTAGTGCAAGGGACAGGATTATCTGTCTTAAATCAGTAACCAGATGCATATGCTAGGAATACTGGAGCTGTGCACACAAGTTGGGGTTCTGCTGCTGGGGATATGTAGTTTGTAGAGGGCTGTACTGTACCGTATCTATTGTGGTGTCACCTTAATGACTGTTGTGTGTTTTTACTAATACGACTCCTAAAATATCCTAATATGACTGTTTTGTTTAGCGGTATTTTCCTACATAGTGTCTTGTATCAGTTTAAGGCACTGTTGACTGCAGCAGCAGCCAAGTCCATGCTGCAGTCTTTGCATGGATTACATTTCCTCATAATCTGTAAACCTTCATCAAAATGATACAGTGAAATAGCTTAAAGTAACACTGTTCCTCTTGGCCTTTTGGAACTCATGCTGACCAAGGTAAAACAGTATAGTGAAGTTGGAACAAATGCAAAAACAGTCTTTTGTGAACCCAAACAATAACATAGAGCTATGGAACAAGTCTCACTTTCTATCCATCTGCAAGGATTCCCATCTCTTCTGGTGTGAACTAATAAGAGAAGCTGTGAGGGATTGTTAAGCTAGACAAAGGCAGGAGTGCAAGTCTTCTCTTAACAGGAAAAAAAGATACATTGAAACAGTCAAAGTAGAACCAATGAACATATTTTCTGGGGGGTATGACCCTACATAGCCTTCTGGTTTTCCATCCACCATCAATTGCATCAAACCAAATCAGTCATCTGCACTGCATATTCATTATCAACATCAAAGATAAGTGCAGTACATATTTCATTATTTTTTTAAAACTGTGATTGTTTTAAGGACAGTTCAAACCCTCCAGTTATAACCCTAGCCCAGAGATTACCTCTTCCTAGCTCAAGTGAGCAGTTTGAAGTCCATGGGATTTGCTCCACTGATGCCATATATCCACAGTTTATTTGATACCTTGTATCACTTGGGTGCCTGGTAACATAGATGATTGTATTCCAATGACTGTTACCACCAACTGGAATTTCATAATAACAGTATTGCTTATGTATTAGAGTAGAAATCAGGAACTGCAGGTATCAAAACTATTTCTTTAGTATGGAATATAGCTTCAATGCACAGTGTGAAAGTGTGAATGCAGAAAAATCTTGATAAAATGTGAATTAGCAAAACAAAGCTTTAAAGATGTGTATATAATGAAAGGTAACTTCCATTTTCAGAGATGCTACCTATTCAAAAAAGATAGAATAACAAAAGCACTAAGTGTACAGTAATCTTACCTATAAGACACGTGCAACAGTTGGGTATTTTTCTTTATCACAACATTTTACCAACCACTGGCTTTTTTAATCCAATATAGGTATTACAACCAAGGAGTCCCAAAGGCCTGTTATCCTGGGTGTAAAGGGAGCAAAATAAACACAGCAGAAAACTTTTGACTTATATTATCCTTCACCAATTTAGAATGGAAGTATGTACACTATATACACTATGTACAACAATAGGTATTAGTGCACTCCATGATAAGCAAGGCAGAATAGAAGCCACTAGAGAGCAGACCGTGCTTCAACCAGCTCTAGAATGGGAATGACAAGGGCAGACAGGAGAGTGGCATATCCACATAACCTCTGCAATTGCCAAAACCATCTTCTCAATGGCTGAAACCTGGGTACTGGTTGAACGACGGGGCCCCATAGCCAACCCTTAGTCCCCTGGTTCGCTGGTTGGGGGAGATAGCCTGTAAATGAGGGTGTGTACATGTCCCGAATAAAGGTTATGTACTCTTTGCATGCCACAATAGGGCTTTATATAATAATATCTATATTTCTACACTCGCGCTGTATAGCCCTTGTGGCTTAGCGCTTCTTTTTGATTATAATAATAATATATTTCTACAGCACAAGGTATACAGGCCTAGCTGACATCAATGACATACTACTACATAGTAAGCCGCTTGTTATGCAGAGTATTTCGGGCATATTAGGTCAGTTCTGTCCCAGGATGTGATACACACCAGTTGACTAACACCCAGGTACCACTTTACTGATAGGCGAACAGACAACTGGCGTAAGAAAATACACAAAATGTTTCTACCCCCGCCAGGAATTGAACATGGTGGCTCGTGGCCACAAGCCACAGTACCAGAAGAAAGGTAATTTTGAAGTATTCAGTCCCTGAGCCCTGATAAACAGAGGGAACTGAGCTATCTAATAAGACTGAAGGATTGAACCCCTTGAAAGACCTCTCCACTTCTTACACTGTCTCCAGTATATAATCTATGTATTGGATTGAAAAAAGCCACTGGTTGGCAAAGCATCTTTGAAATTAAAATTACCCAGTGTTGCATGTCTCTTGTTCATCAGTGCCACTGATGAACTGATGATACTGACTATTAATTTAGAACTAAACAAGCTGGGATGCTCAGAATCTGTTTGGTGCAATATATGGTAGTAACCAAACTGGTTAGTAGGAATGTACTACAAGCAAATTTACATTAATAAATGAAGTTTCAGATATATTCCAAATTACATAAAGGCAGCACCTGAAGCACAAGCTCTCATAATGAGAGCATAGACTAGGCAAACGTATTATCATGTGACTTGCAAAATCGTAATAACAGTATCGTAAACAATGCAAGGATTGGGCAGGATTTAAACCCTTGGCAAGCCAGTTCTAAAATTAGCAGGCCAGCGCACTAACCACTACACCATGCCAGGACTGGCTTGTCATGAGTTTGAATCCTGCCCATTCAGCGAGTTTCACCATATGGTTAATACCAAAAATTCCTGGAATTTTCTTTAATAAAACTCATTATAGATTCCATCCATAATCATCTGGGCAACATTAAAGAAGATACTGAACTATAATAAGACAACTTCTGAATACTGTAGAATTAGTTTTTAGGAAGAAAAAAAGAAACAGAAGATTACCCAATGATAACAAATGAAGGTGACCCATGAAAACAAGAGTCCATCTTTGGATAAATATCAAATTATTGCAAAATATATGGTAGTGACGAACCTACCATACGAGAAAAGTGAATGTGACCACTCCGAAAATCAGAGCAGCTAAAAGAGACTTTGAAGGAACTCTGTATAGCCCTTGTGGCTTAGCACTTCTTTTTGATTATAATAATAATTTGAAGGAACTAGTATAAAATATCAAGGAAGATATCAAGTCCTTTGGTACACATGTAAGAAGTAAATGAGGCAGAGTTATTGTAGGATCCTTAGAAGATGAACAATATAAAATCATATTGCATAAAAAAAATTCAAAAAGACACCTCAAATAAAAATCAAGAAAATTCCAGTTGCAGCAAGAATATGTGCTGAAAGATCTAAAAATAAATTGCAAGATACTGAACACTGCATGTGAAGTAGCCATAAGGAATAACGACATTTAAAAAGAACTCGAGCACCATAGGTGGATGAAATTCCGTCTAAAATGATGGAAGTAGTCGGAGAGTTCACAGATTAGGAAAGTGCCAGGGAAGAATAGCAGATAACTACCTCTGTTGCTAAATCAAGGTATCCTCCAAACAGTGGTCAGAAATCTGCAGACTAGGGAAGTAATGGGAAGAACAGGAGAGAACTACCACTGCTGCCCAATCAATTTGCCCTCCAAACTGTAATGCAAAATCTGCAGACCAGGGAAGTGCCAGGGAGGAACAACAGAAAACTACCTCTGCTGCCTAATGCACTTGTCTTTCTGTACCTGCAAGCTCCCCAAGAGAATTTTTGTGGGGAGGCAATCTTCATGGATCACTTAATGTACAGCAAAATTAAAACATCATAACATGGACTTACAGTACAGGAAACAAATTGTGCATAAATCTGCTTTGATTTTTTGCACTGTTTACAAACCACAGTGACCAACTCTGCACATGAACTTTTCAAAGGCATTCAACAAAGTGCCACATGAAAGACTGGCTAAGAACACCCAAGCTCATGGAAACACTGGCAAAAAATATCAGAGACAATATAGGAAGAAGTCATATAAATGAAGTAGAATGCCACAAGACTAACGTATTAAGTAGAGTGCCAACCCATTTTTTTTTTTTGTTATGGACAGTAAAATCTCAGACCACATGTCTATGCAGCACTTTTCTTAAGCGAATTGCTCATATATCTTTTCATTAAATACTAGTACAGTATGTGGTTTTTACTTAGTGCATGTGCTGTAAAGTCTTAGAAAGTGACTTGGGCATGAAAAAGTTTTAAGAATTTTCTATGGCCTGGGGAAAGCTGGTGTTAACCACTTGGTGGAACTCAGACATTAATTTATATTTTATGATACATGAAACCTATGTATCCTCTGGAAAAATTATTTCTTGTGAAAAGTGTTATTTTGGGAGATACTATCAAAAATAGTACATTAATTTTGGGTGTACAGTGTTTTAGCCAATCCATGCTTAATAGTGAGTCTTGTCATGCACTAGGTGAATGTAAGCAAAATTGTGAAATACCAGTGTTGGAGTGTTAGAATAAGTCAGATTACTTTAGGCTATGTGAGAAGGATTTCTCTAGGTGTGATTATGCTGTTTCTATTTGCACAACAGAATACTATCTCAGCTGCAAAACCAACTCACTGTTTTACAATTTGAACTACAGCTATAACTAATGACTGAAATTGGCCGAGTAGCAGTCATATACTATTACCAAGCAGCTGTCAACCCAGACTTACTATGGCACATGTAGTTGCCCTATAAACCTCAACCGATGACATCTGGTGACTACCACTCAGTGGGGTCATATAACCATCTCCAAACACTTCTTTATCAACAAGTAAAAGACCAAGGAATGAGAGAGAATAAAATTCTTCATTCTCACTATTATAAAAAAGAAAATTGTATACTGAAAAGAATGAGGCATCAGCCAGTTAGAGGATCAACAGCTGTTTACTGTTTGGTAAAGCTACATAACTATCTCCAAACACTCCTGTATCAACAAGCAAGAATAAAAAAAAGAAATTAGAGTACAATTATTTTTTTTTTTACTTTTAACATATTTCAAGCTGGTAAGATTTTGTTAAATTTCTAAGTCACATGTGGTATATTTATCTTACTCATTTTCTCTGGAAGGAATAGTTGGTATCCTGCACTATCAAACACCAGCTTGCCCAGCACTTAAGTTCATCTAGTAAGTTTATACAGTATTTAGGTCTTGGGTTCATAACATACATTTCTAGATCAACAAGGAGTGACAGCTACAATGTAAGGTATAAAAAAAATTATTAACCGTGACAAAATATGCACTTTAATAAATAAATTCTCCAACTATAATTTGATTTTGTTTTGGGTCTATGTGAAGAATTTTTTTTTGGCAAAGGAAAAATAGAGCCTGATAACCTATTCTAGATTTCTGAGTTAATACTAGGTTGGGATAAGTTTTTTTTTTTCTGGTTATAAAAAAAAATAATTCCCCCCCATAGGCCCAAAATAAAGCTGTCTCCATTGCCCAACCACTTATTATTGCATAATAATAATGAAACAATAAGCCGCTTAGATAACTAACCAAAACTCAAGAAAACTTTTTTATTATTATTTTTTTTTTTTTAAGAATTTGCCTACAAAAAAAAATGCCTATTGTCAAACCCCATTTATTATACACTGTAAACTAAATCGCCTAATTTTGCTGAGTAGCTAAAGTAAATACTGACTCCTATTTTTTTCCAATATATTATTCACATTTTTTTTTTTTTAACATGTTGGCCGTTTCCCACCGAGGCAGGGTGACCCAAAAAGGAAGAAAAAACTTTCATCATTATTCAACACTTTCATCATCACTCATACATAATCACTATCTTTGCAGAGGCATTCAGATATGATAGTTTAGATGTCCCTCCAAATTGCCAATATCCCAAACCCCTCCTTTAAAGTGCAGGCATTGTACTTCCCATTTCCAGGACTCAAGTCTGGGTAACCAGTTTCCCTGAATCCCTTCACAAAATATTACCCTGCTCACACTCCAACAGCTCATCAGGTCCCCCCCAAAATTTGTCTTCATTCACTCCTATTTAACATGCTCATGCACACTTGCTGGAAGTCCAAGCCCCTTGCCCACAAAATCTCCTTTACCCCCTCCCTCCATTATATAGCTCAAAATTATCGATTTCAGGAATGTAAACCTCACACTATGTGAAGTTCTACTGTATTCTGACACTGAGAAAGAAAATACCTGTATATCACACTACATCAGTTGCAGATGGTACCAAGAGTTGGAGAAAGTTGTACAGTAAAGAGGGCATTTCCATACAAAAGCACCTATGGTTAAATACTTTTCAGTAGAGAAATTAAAAATCTTGCATGTAAGATACAACCCATCACAGCTGCAAATACTGAAAAACACTACATTCCTACCAACACAAAAAAAAAAAAAAGTCAATAGTCCACCAGTCCTTAAAAACAGTATAGCAAGTGGGAGCAGTTTAGGAAAAATCTTTCATTAGTTGAATGTTGGGAAATCTGAACCTTTTTTTTTTTTCCATAAACTCAAATCACACTCAGTGATGCAGTAGTGAGCTATAATATTCCATATCTAATTTTGTATGTACAGTGGACCTCCGAGTTTCGGCGGCATCGACTTTAGTGAAATCCGACTTCCGGCAAGTTTTTTCGGCAAAATTTGGCCTTGCATTTCGTGATTAGACTCGTGATTCGGCAACCGTCTGGTACCCATCCGCTCACACAAAGCCAGTCTCCCACGCTATTCACGCTCAGTGTGCTATTGTTTACCAACACGTGACCATCACCCTGCGGGTTCATACGTAATAATCCATTCTTTTTTGTGATTGCAACTGCTAAATAAGTCACCATGGGCCCAAGGAAAGCTAGTGCAAACCCTTTGGTAAAGAATGTGAGGAACACGATTGAATTCAAGAAGGAAATCATTGAAAAATATGAGAGTGGTGTGTGTGTGTTACAGAGCTTGCCAGGATGTATGGCAAACCCCATTCAACCATCACTTCGATCGTGGCAAAAGGAAAGGAAATAAAGTGTGCTGTTATTGCAAAGATTAAGGACATTTGTGCAAAGTAGACTGAAGTGCAAACATTTATGGATGAACTTCACCCTAACAAAGCTCTTGCAGGCCGTATTGGCAACATGTACAATGGCAGTGTTGTGTCCCACTTCAGACAAATCTTAAAGAAACGCCAGAAACAGAGCTATCTGGACAGATATTTTGTGCGACAGGGTTCCAGTGACTCTCGAGTTGTTCCCAGTGCCAGTGTCTTTAAAAAACAAAGAAGGGAAGTAACCCCAGATAAGGCCTTCATACCTGAAGTCCTAATGGAAGGAGATTCTCCTTCCAAACAATAGTGTACACCTTCCTCCTATCCCCTCCTCCCGTCTTCCATCCACCCAGAAGTCTTCAGTAAAGGTAAGTGTAATGTTATTATTATTTTTTATATGCATGTACTTGATTTCTCATTGTTTTCAGTATGTAAATCTTTATTTAATTTGAAAAAAAAAAAAATTAATATTTTTGGGTGTCTGGAACGAATTAATTTTATTTCCATTATTTCTTATGGGGAAAATGGTTTCGCCATTCGGCAATTTCGACTTTCGGCAGGCTCTCTGGAACGGATTAATCATGAAACTCGGGGGTCCACTGTATAGTATAATTTTTAACAATGAGTTTAAAAACAATGTACAGTATATTATTCAGATGAGTTCCTCCTCCCTTCCTGTTTCTTTTCCTCTTCACTCCCATTCCCTCTTCTATTGCTTCACCTTCCTCAGTCTCATATTCCTTCCCTCTCACTCTCTCATTAACTTCCACTATTTTTCCCAGTGTATGTCTTGGTACTGTATATGGCATAAGGTGTGGCAAGGGTATTGCATAAGTAGGTTGATGCCCAAGTACAGTAACTCGAGCAAGGTTAGGGAGAGGAGAAAGGGGATGTCATTCACTCTTTTACCCCATCCTCCTTCCAATGGCCACCAACCTTGGGCCTTCCCCTCCCCCAACACTGACAACCCACTGCCCTGGTCTTTTTTCCCCATAGTCTTTAGCCAGAAGCCAGGGCCTCCCTCCTAGACAACTAGGACACCCCCCTGGCTACCTCACCTGCCAACCACTGACATGCTAGATGTGAACACCCATGTTGATAATTACATAAATAATAACTACAGTTCTTTACCAGTCTCTACCTAATAAAAATGAACTCCCCACATATGCATAAAATATCAATGCATGTAGTGAAAAATAGCCGAGTAAAAATAATATTGAAAATAATATGTTTGAATATATGCATTGATCTGCAGATCTGTGTTTGTAAATCGTTAATTGGTTGTGCAGTGCCCAGATCATAAGTGTGGATCATTACATGTTAAATCATTGTAAGCTGGGAACTTGCTATGCAAAGAAATGAAAACCTTATCTGATTTCACAAATTCCTTATGCCCCCACAATGACTAATATATTTAAGCATACAGACCACATGGAGAAGGGATATTACATCATTAGAAAAACTTCATGAAAAGGCAACAAAAATTACCTTGGAAATAAGTTGGCTCACTTGCCAGAATAGGCAGAGGACTACAAATGGCACTAATAACTTCTCTAATGAAGAATGACTAGACTTACCTTAGGGAGACATTTAAGATGCTGCACAAGTTGAACAATATAAAACCCAACTACTTAAAAGGAATTAACTGTGATGTACATGAGAGGAATGTTTCATCACTGCCAAACTGCAGTGCATGAACTGTACTACAGTTAAAAAATTGCAAGAATTCATTTGGCATAACAGAAGTAGACCCTCATAAACTACATGCTTTTGTTGAATCTAAGTAAGAGGTACGTACTACAATGGGGGTATAAGAGCTACAATATGAAATGTACGATAGCTCACGCTCTCCAAAATAAAAGCCATAACTGAAACTTTAAAATCATATTTAAATTTTTACCAACAAAAATATAAAATGCTGAATTGTTATATTGTACTGTTAATAAAAAAAACTGTGACGATAAAGTTCTTACACATAAAAAGAAGTGGAACAATATATGATAAAATAAATCGGTAAATGATGAACAAGATGTAGGGGAATTTCCTCAATTTCATCACGAAGTTTTCCAGGTGAATTTTGATTAATGTAATCTTTTACTTCAAGAACTTCAGTGATCCATATGTTTTTACTCTGGGAAAAGAATAATACACCTACCATCCGACTTACGACCACTCGACTTACGACCGTGTTTTTTATGCCAAATTTCTGGGAAATAAACAACTATTTGTGTTGTACACAGTGTTTATCCTAAACCTTACAGTATAAAATACAGTACTAATAGCATAAAAAGTAAAGTAAAACATGAAATACCAAATAAAACAATAAAATAAAGTCATTACAAAAACGTTTTGTTACTAACGGAGTCACTGGCTTCTTGGACCTCTTGGGGAGGGTCGATGGTGCTCGTGCAAGCAGCAGATCCCGGGGCAACTTGCTGCTGTTTGCAATGGCTGTCTACCGAGGAGAGACAGGCACCTAGCAACATCTGTTGTTGGGGCAATGGATGATTTCCCTGCTATGTTTGTTAACTGCTCATTACTCTGTAATTTGTCTATGATTGTAATCATGTGATAACGTGTTTATCATTCATTACCTTTGAAACTTGTCATGATTTTGACCAGCTCTACCTGGAGCTCATTACCTTTGTAAATTCTCATGATTAATGTGTTTATGATTCATTACCTTTGCAATTATTCATGAGTGTGACCAGCTCTACCTGGAGCTCATTACCTTTGTAACTTGGTTATGATTATGACCAGATCTAGTTCATTACCTTTGTAACTTGCTCAGCTATCAAAACTCTGGAGTCCAGTCCCTGGACCAATTATGTACCTCTGTAATCTTTTGACTACCGCCCACAGGATGGGTATTGGGTGCATAATAAACATATTAAACTAACTAAAAAAATGATATTCAGTAGTAAAATTCGACTTACGACTGGTTTCTCGGAACCGAACTTGGTCGTAAGTCGGATGGTAGGTGTATATATTTTTTGTTCTGCACTGTGTTCCACATACTTGAAGTAGTTGTTTCTTGTTTGTATCATGTTACTCTTCTTGAAGAAATGACCAGAGTTTACAGTATTCAACTTGTCCAGTATCTTGAATATCTACATAAGTTCCATCCCATGCATTTTTTTTATTTTAAGGTATCAGTTCATCCCAACAGGGTGTAAGAAAATTTCAACAACCTATAATAATTTTACATGATATGTTGAAATATAATGTACAGTATGTATCATTTGAGAAAAGTAAATATAAATTATTAAAGAACACTTTTTGTGTGTGTGTGCTTATTGTCATGTGTCTGAATTACATTTTCATTCAACCAAACTTGCTCGATATTTATCTTTTCATAATATCAGGGATTAAATTTCATTACCTTATGGCAATGTCTTTGAAAGTGAAAGAAAATATCACATGAACACTATTGGTCCAAGTTCTAAGTTATTGCTGTTAAGGAAAAACATAGTATGAAGCAGGGTCCATGTCAGTATCATAATAATAATAATAATATCTTTATTTCTACAAGTACATGTACAAGGTATACAGTCCTAGCTGACATCAGTGACATGCTACTATATAGAAAGCCTCTTGTTATGCTGAGCATTTCGGGCAAATTAGGTCATTTTTGTCCCAGGATGTGACCCAAACCAGTCGACTAACACCCAGGTACCCATTTTATACTGATGGGTGAACATGGACAAGTGTCTTAAGGAAACAAGTCCTAATGTTTTCCAGCCATACCAGGGATTTGATCTCTGGACCTCAGTGTGTGAGCTGAGTGCGCTAGCAATAAAGCTACTTCCTCTATGATACAAACATAATTCTAAAATCTGTACTCTTGATATTTTTTTTTTTACATACTGAAATAACCATGCATAACTTATTTTAGTTTTATCATGATAACATACTTTAATAGTAATTTTTCACTGTCAAAATATAGGCATACAGTAAATAAATTATAACAAATAATAGATAATATACTGTAATTTTCAGTACTGTGTGGTAGATTAATTATTTTATTTTTAATTTAAATTTGTGTGCCTGATATAAGGCCACTTAATCTTTTAGTTTATGAGTGTGCCAGTTAAGAGGGCCACTTCGGTTTCAATACAGTTGACATTGGGAACTTTACCAAATATTATTTCTATCTGCTATGAGGTACCTATTTCATTTGGAACAGAGTCAATTTTACCTTAGATTTTGATCATGACATATATTGAAAATACCTACCAATAATTTCTCATCTATCTACATTTGGGAAGAAATTCACAAGTGTCTACTACACAATAATTTAGCTCATATATATAGACTGTACAATATCATGCAATGATTCTAAATAAAAGGACAGGACAGCATGCTATGCCACAATTACAAATTTGATAATACGTTCACATCCGCAGCAAAAATATCTTCCAGGGGAGAATTAAGGTGCCTACCATACATTACCTCCTAGTAAAATAGATCATTTGTGTTTATGACTGGAACAAAGTATCATACACAACATTTATATTAGCATCCCTCCTGGGCGTTCCTCTTGTACTTAACTTTAGTTATTAAAATTAGAACACCACAGAATTCATGATACACTCACATCACCAATAAAAGCAGGGATAAAACCAACCTTTACATAATTAAATATCCAATCTTTTGACAACCTTATCTTATTTTGACGGATCTCTTAGAGAGAGGGAGAGGGAGAGGGGAAGGGGGGAGAGAGAGAAAAAGAGGAACCACAGAACATGCAAAAAATCTACATACATTATTACTGTCATAACTTCCAAATTTAAAAAATTCTAGTTGTTATTCAAAACTGTCACATACATACTTAAAAATCACAAAATGTAGAATCAAAAGTTTCAAGTATTACTTAAAAAAAAAAAAAGAAAAAAAAAAAAGCCACTCAGTACATGCTTCACTTGACCAGAATTATACTGTGATTTCTTGAGCACTGGTTTTTCTTGTAGTTGATACTGACTACATAAACTTGTTGCAGGATACTATTCCACTAACACTAAAAATCCCATTTGCAACACAAGGGTCGTGATTCCACAATTCATGGCCAAAAAAAAAAAACTTACAAATATACTGAATACTATACACATTGTCATCATAGAAGGTTACTTCTGTATATAATCAGGAACCTGCAAATTATGTCATATATCATGCACAACTGAGCCTTGAGCATAAAGAGGGTACTGGGCATCCAAGTGGTTATGCAAAAACCCGTTCCTTGCTTGCATAACCTCTTGACACTTTAGTCGTCAATAGGGTTAATGTGTTTAATACTGTACTTATATCTCATACCACCTGTACATTAAAACATCAACATTATAAAAAATATTCTTCATAGTTTTGTTTAACTGTCTTTGGTTTTTGCAATCTGTTGAATGTCACAGTATGGGCCTGCCTGAGTCTTAATGATGTTTCAACATGTAAACATCTTTTCTAGAGTAATGACTAGAGAAAGCAGTCTCAGTTTTTTTTTAATCTTATATTCAAATAAGATTCAAACAAAATACATTCAGCGATCAACCCAGTCACTTGTTCCATCGTAATTATCTCCAGAGACTCAGGGAAGACTTGACAACAATTAGCAGAGATGCTCTAGTCTCTATGGTAATCTTGTATTCAGAACTGAGCTGTTCGAACACAAGATGACGCACTGCTCAGTGAAGACACCGTTGTACTCAGTACTGACACTGTAAATGTAGTATTTATTTACGATGTCTCAAAATTTGTTAGGGAGCCGTGATCTTGTCTCTTAACACCTCACATCTCCCAACTCGTGGGTAGAGGATGAGGCACCGTTGGCTCTATAGAGCTGTGGTAGGGAGAAAGTTAGATGAGAGTAATGAGTTCAGATATTTCCTTGTACAAAAATATATGAAAAATCAACACATTACAATTACAGCACTATACATGCATATAAAGCATGAATATTTAATGGTAAATAGTTAGAAAAATAGTATAATAGTAATCTTTTGTAGACTCTACTTCATTATTGTTTGAAGTTAAGCTTGAAATGTTAATTAATTACTTTAGTTATTGTGCCAATGAAATAACTTCTTGTATATGAATGATATATAGTACAACTTCATATGTTACACTTATGGTTAATAAAGAACTTCAATAATTCACAAGGATATTGGAATAATTTTTTTTATAGTACAGTGAAAGCTGCAGTGGTTGTGTGATATGAAAACAAGTATAACAGAAGGGTAAAAACCAAAAAATAAAGCAAAGAAAATTTTTGAAAAAATAAGCAAAACAGATTAAAGAAAATGGTTATACAAAAAAAGTAAAAAAAAAAAATTGTAATAAAATAAGTGGAATTCTTTCATCTTAAGATGATGGGATATAGAAATTTACTAATACAGTGGTACCTTGAGTTTCAAACAGCTCCCAACTCGAACAGTTATGTAAGTGTATTTTTGGGGGTCTGAAACAGACTAATCTAATTTATATTATTCCTTATGGGAACAAATTTGTTTGGTATCGGCACTCAAACAGACTTCTCGAACGAATTAAGTTCGTAACTCAAGGTACCACTGTACTGTGGTTTAAAAATAAAAAAAAAATTATAGTACATGTATTTCTAAACATTATTACAGTTTTGTGGACAGATTATAATTATTTAAATTACATATCTGTTTATGTTTAAGCCTTAGTGGATTATTCAGATCTTGTGGTGGCTCAATCCTCCATCCACTAATCCTGTACTTACTCCAAACCAAACTTGATACTGTTCTTATGTAGCATTGGTAGTAGAGTTAAAATTATAGTTTAAACTACAATGTTTGTAGTAATAGCCATTATAAATAATACAGTAGGGCCCCACTCACACGACAGGCTAGGTTCCAGGCTACTGCCAAAAAGCAGACATCGCTAGAAAGCAGAATGCCATTTTTTCCATTTATATATGCATATAAATGCCAGACAACAAGTTTATACTAACTTATATTAAGTTAGTAATAGAACTAGCCATTAAAAACACAATAAAAAGTAAAATAATACACAGTACGCTCATTACTTACCTTAAAATATTTGTAGTCTTAATGTAGGGCGAGAGGTGAGTAGTACTTATTTGATGGAAGTCAGGTATAGGTAGTCCTGGCTCCCCGTCCCAAACTTAATAGTACGTATATGATATTTAAAGCAGCCCAGAGAGATAAAATACACATACAGTACATTCATTATTTACCTTAAAATATGTGTAGTCTTAATGTAGGATGAGAAGTGAGCAGTATTTATTTGTAGGAAGTCAGATGTAGATAGCTGGTAGATGTAGTAATGTAGTCTGTCTGGCTACATAGCTGCACCTACCTACATAGCTATATAATATTTAATGTGGCCCAGAGCCATATTATTATCATCGACATACCTTCTTTCATTGAGTTTAATTATTTGTAACAACTACCTTTAGATACCATCGTAAACGAAGGAAGAAGTAATGAATAATTCATGCTGAGAATTGCAAACAAAGGCATTGTGTTATGGGGAGTGACTAGACCAGACGCAGATTCATAAATGTTTTCCCTCATGCTGGTCCAGAGAAAACAATGTTTTCCCTCCGCCTGGCAACCACACCTCCATAGCATATAAACATAGCATGTTTATGTGCTATGTAATGTGTTTCTTATATAATTTTGAAGAAAATATCATAGATGGGTTAATGAAAATGTCTATAATAAAATAAATAAATAAATAAATAAAATAAGACATATAATGTGCCCAAGAGTGATTATTATTACGTATTAATATTATTACTATGGCATTAAGATTACAGGGACATTTTTAGTGATTTTAATGTGTACCTGCATGCCAGCATAGTGTTTAAGTATATTTAGGTACAGGTACACATAATTATAATTATCAGAGTATAATATAAAATATGCAATAACTTTAAAACACTTGCAATTTAGGAAAGTTTCCAAACATAATAGAGATGTGCTCACAGAGAATGTAAACAAACCGGGTGGTGCGTGCCATATTAGAAAGACCACTCATCGTATAGTGTGTTTTGGTCATAAGTTGAAATTGCTGTATTAGCGGAACACCATAAGGTGAAATGCTGTAAAGCGGGGCCCTACTGTATACTGTATATAGTTAGGTTATAAAGAAAAAGGCTAGTTTAAAAACCTTGATAAATTATTTGAGTAGAAATAATTTAGTACTGTACATAACATAACCTTCCACTCCAGATTTTATACACCTACTTGCATCACCTTTTGTAAATGACCATACCATCTCAACTCCACTCTACACTACATCTTTCATACCATCACACCATCTTCTAATTTCTACACTCCTTATTCTCTACATAACATTCCCACAACACTCTGACTGTAAACATGACATCTGCACTGCCTCCATTATTATTATAATCAAAAAGAAGTACTAAACCCATGCACTGCCTCCAGCCTCCTCTACATTGCAAATTAAAAAAAAAAATGCATCACATCCACTGATAAACTTCTTTATACCTCAATATTTCACCTGCTTTTTTCCTCATCTATTCTGTGATTCTGATATTTGTACAGTGATGCTGTATATTACCAGCTATACTTCAACCAGGGAAGGAAAGGAAGGGGGGGGGGGTATCAGTAGATTATCTATAAACGATTTCTGGGGGTCATGGCCCCTACAATCCGGTCATAGACCAGGCCTCCCAGTTATCCTGACTGACCAGACAGTTAGTACTAGTTGCACACAGCCCAATGTACTTATAGAAATAATTATTATTAGATTTTTGCTTATCCTTAGGCTTAAGATGTGAGGTATATTTTCAGTCCTCACAGATAGGAGTAACTTAGTTTTTTTCAGCATTGACATTTAACACATCAGTACAGTGGTACCTTGACTTACGAGTGCCCCAACTTATGAGTTTTCCGAGTTACGAGCCATCGCTCTGTCGATTTTTTGCTTTGAGTTGCGAGCCAAAATCTGAGTTACGAGCAAGCTTCAGATACGCCGCCACTAGTTGGCGACATATCTGAAGTCAAATCCAACTCTGTACCCAGAGGAATGTCAGGTACTTCATCCCATCCCATATGCCTCTTCCAAGACATAACTAGAAGGATAATACTCCCACACTAATCCCAGATTGTAGTGAGGCACCTCGTCCCTTGTTTGGCTCTTGTATAAATCCGGGGAAGAAGTAACCTCCATTTCAACACTCAGTTTTTTCAGAAACATTAACCCTTAAACTGTCCAAATGTAGATTTACGTTTTTTCAACATTTGAAAGTATGTAAAAGAAAGTAGATTTTCTTTTCTTTTTTTACATTTGAAAAAGTGTAAGAAAAACTTTGATCTACTTTTTTTTTGTTATATTTGAAAATGTGTAAAAAAACATAGATCTACTTTTGGAGCACTACGCATGTGAATGTAGATCTGCTTGGACAGTTTAAGGGTTAAGGAAGGCCTCCGTGATATTTACCTGCCTCATGGAGGTTCCTTCAGTCAATTACTCAGATATGGTAAACATGAGGAAATTAAATCTTCATCAGAGTACAAAACAAATTCTGGCCACAAAATAGAGCGAAACACCAACATCAAAGACCTGGGAGTGATCATGTCAGAGGATCTCACCTTCAAGGACCATAACATTGTATCAATCGCATCTGCTAGAAAAATGACAGGATGGATAATGAGAACCTTCAAAACTAGGGAGGCCAAGCCTATGATGACACTCTTCAGGTCACTTGTTCTATCTAGGCTGGAATATTGCTGCACACTAACAGCACCTTTCAAGGCAGGTGAAATTGCTGACCTAGAAAATGTGCAGAGAACCTTCATGGCGCACATAACGGAGATAAAACACCTCAATTACTGGGAGCGCTTGAGGTTCCTGAACCTGTATTCCCTGGAAAGCAGGCGGGAGAGATACATGATTATATACACCTGGAAAATCCTAGAGGGACTAGTACCGAACTTGCACACGAAAATCACTCACTACTAAAGCAAAAGACTTGGCAGACGATGCAACATCCCCCCAACGAAAAGCAGGGGTGTCACTAGCACGTTAAGAGACCATACAATAAGTGTCAGGGGCCCGAGACTGTTCAACTGCCTCCCAGCATACATAAGGGGGATTACCAACAGACCCCTGGCAGTCTTCAAGCTGGCACTGGACAAGCACCTAAAGTTGGTTCCTGACCAGCCGGGCTGTGGCTTGTACGTTGGTTTGCGTGCAGCCAGCAGCAACAGCCTGGTTGATCAGGCTCTGATCCACCAGGAGGCCTGGTCACAGACCGCCGTGGGGGCGTTGACCCCTGGAACTCTCTCCAGGTAAACTCCAGGGTATTACTGCTGCGACCCAGGAGCCCTACCCAGTTTTTCCATACCTTAACCAGAGACAGAGATAATGCTTCTGGCTTGTGGTTGAGCTTTGACAGTTTGTCCAGGAGCTGCTGGTTCTTGTCTACAAGAAGAGCCAGCATTCTTCTCATCTTGGCCATATAGGGTGGAATGTACAAATTCACAAATGCATGTGGTAGTGGTAGTGATAGTGGTGGGTGGAGCAGATATGGTGGTGGGTGGAGAAGTGATGGTGGTGGATGGAGCAGAGATGGTGGTGGTTGGAGTAGTGAGGGTTGTGGGTGAAGTAGTGAGAGTAGTGGGTGTATTGAGGGTGGTGAATGGAGTAGTGATAGTAGTGGGTGTAGTAGTGATGGTGGTGAGTTGATAAGTGATGGTGGTGGGTGGAGTAGTGAAAGAGATGGGTGGAGTAGTGAAGAGTGTACCAAGTAAGTTAAGCGATTAAGCAAGAATGGGGTGGTTTTTTTTGGGCTGGAACGGACTAATGGTATTTCAGTAAATTTCAATGAGGAAAATTTATTTGATATACATGTACGAGCAAACCGAGTTACAAGCTCGGTCACAGAACGAATTAAACTCGCAAGTCAAGGTACCACTGTACTTTCATATCTTATGAGGAAGCTAATGATAACTTTTATACTGCAGTTTTTTTAACATGGCTGTCTCCAACCAAGGTTGGAAGGGGAGAAAAGAGATAAGATTTTGTTTGGATTTTTAATCCCAGAGGGTTAGCCACTCAAGATAACCCAAGAAAGGCAGTGTGTCATCGAAGGACTGTCTTTTTTCCATTGGGGTCTTCAATCTTGTCCCCCAGGATGCAACCCACACCAGTCAACTAACACCCAGGTATCTACTTTCTAGGTGAATAGGACAACAGGTGTATGGAAACATGTAAAAATGTTTCCACCCTGCTGGGAATCGAACCCGGACCCTTAGTGTGTGAAGTGAGAGCTTTGCTAGCCAGGCCCTACCTAGAGCAAATCTTTCTTTCTTTCAACACACTGGCTGTATCCCACCGAGGCGGGGTCATGAGCTCTAAATGATTGCCATCTTCTGATCTACCAAATATATTGCAACACAAAGTTTGTGTTAACAGCTTATAGTTATCAAGTGGGAACTGAATGAATAAGCGCATTTTGTCGAATTCTCTATAAAATGCAAGACAGTGGAAGGTAACGCTTGAATTTGTGGAAGAAATCCCTAGATGCTAAACAAAATCATAAGACTTAAAACTCGTTTTAAATTTTTTAACCTCCCAAATCTGTATTTAAATATACAATGGTAGTGTTAATGCTGAAATATAATACTTGTGGAGTGACAAGAATTCCATTGTTTCAGCAGGAATGCTAAAAAAGTGGAAGAGAAGTATATAAACATTTTGATATTAAAATTTACTAATAGGTTTGGATATGAAATAGCCACAGAGCACTGAAAGGTAAATCTGCAATTTAATACCTCTTATATGAATTTGTATTAGCAGGTGAAGAGGATCAACAAGAGAGATATGGGGGAAAAAACAAGGGAATGGGATGCATAAATTAGGAGAAAGGCAGTGTTTGAGTATAAGCCCAAAGTGAGCTTGCCCAAAGTGAGCTTGCAAGAGAATGCATAGTTGGAGCCAGCAATAGAGGGTATTCTCTATTACAGCCATCTTCTGAAAAGTTTTTGGAATGAGACATCAGCAACACACAAACAGAATGTGATTAGCTCATGCATGTCCTCTCATGTGAATTATTGAAGTTTAAATTCAAAAAATATGCTGATAAATTAACATAGATGCAAAAATAAGTGACTTTCACAGAAACATGGCTAATATACATTTTATACAGTGACACATATAGGTCTAAATTTTCTTTACTGGAATGGCAAGACTGTAATGTCTGGAAAAGACGAATGCACAAAGCTTCTTACCATCCCCACAAAAACATCGTCTAAACAGCACTTCAGCAAAATAAACAAAGCATGAGCTGACTGCAGGTAAAAATCATTGTGCACTCGACATAATAAAGCAAAGCCAATACAGATGTGGATCCAGGAGTATGCTAAAGATCAGGTGACATCAATGAAAACCTCCATTTATTAGCAATTAACTGGACACAGAATAACTTGTATATAGACAAAAACACATACACATACAGTATTCCCTATAAATTTGAGGATTTTTTCAAGGTACAATATATCTCACAAGTAGGTTTCAGTATTCAATTTTTTTTTTAATTTGTATGGTGTCCATGAAACTGTTTAAAATATGCTCACTGAATTTCCCAAGTACAAAATTCTTAAGTATATTCATATCAGACAAATCCTGTTAAAAAAAGTTCAATATATGGACAGTATTCAGTGGTTTTTGCATTTACTGGATTTTCTGGGACCTTTGGGAATGTCTTTCCACCGAATTTGGAGGGAGGACTGTGAATACATATACATTTACACATACAAACCGTATATATTGTGGCTACCATGAATTACTTTAATAGGCAAGGTTCCTGGGTTCACTACTGCACCAAAGCAAACAAGAAGCGAGGCGACCCTTACTCAAGTTGAAAACGTACCCGCGCTGGGCGGTGCAGAGTTGCTGACCTTTGGCCTCCTGCCATAGCACCACCTGGGTATTGCTCACGACGAGCTGGTCGTGGCAGTGATCTGAATTGCTGTGGCGGCGATGGAGGCGTGCTAGGATACTCCGTTGGGACAGGAGTCGGAGTTGACCCTAAATTTTTTTTTGAAATCAGAAACTGCATCTTGCATTTAAAAAATAATGGTAAGTTATACTGTACATGTACTTCATATGAGCTATAGCAAATGCTTCCTTATCCACTATTCAACTAAAAGCTGTAAATGTGTTTCAAAATAATTTGTATCGCAAAATATGACTAGTAATTTTTTTTTACCTCAGCAGCTGTCTCTTGCCAATGAAGGATAACCCACAGAAAAAGCATTCACCTTCATTCAGTCAATCACTGTCTTGCAGAAGTGTGCTGCCATCATTAATTAGATTACCTTCCAACTGCAACATACCCACACCATCTTCAGAATGCAGGCATTGCCCTTCCTACCTCCAGGGCTCAAGTCTGGCTGGTTCCTTGAATCTCTCCATAAGAGTTACATTGTTCACACACTAACAGCACATCCCTTAAAAACCACTTTCTCCATTCTCGCCTATCTAACACATTTGCTTAAGCCCCTCAAACTCGAAGCTTCTTTTACCTCCTCCAACTGTTCCTGGGATGACCCCTAATAAGGACCTGGGAGTATGTGATAGTGTCAGAGAATCTCACTTTCAAAGATCACAACAATGTATCTACCACATCTGCTAGGAAAATTATAGGATGGATAATGAGAACCTAGAAAACTAGAGATGCCAAGCCCATGATGATTCTCTTCAAATCGCTTGTTCTCTATAGGGTGGAATATTGCTGTACACTAACAGTCCCCTTTCAAAGCAGGCAAAATTGCAGACCTTGAGAACATACAGAGAACTTTCATGGCAAGTATAAGTATGATAAATTACTGGGAACAACTGAAGTCCCTTGATTTGTACTCCCTGTAATGCAGGCTACATACACAATAATATACATTTTGAAAATCCTAGAGGGACTAGTCCCAAATCTACACATGAAAATCACTCCCTATGAAAGCAAATGGCTTGGCAGGAGATGCAACATCCCCCAATGAAAAGCAGGGGTGCCACGAGTATGTTAAGAGACAACACAATAAGTGTCAGGGGCCCAAGACTGTTCAAGTGTCTCCTAGCATACATACGGGGTATTACCATAGACCCTTGACTGTCTTTAAGAAGGAGCTAGACAGGCACCTAAAGTTAGTACCTGACCAGCCAGGCTGTAGCTCATAGGTCCGTTTACATGTGGCCAGCAGTAACAGCCTGGTTGATCAGGCCCTTATCCACCATGAGGCCTGGTCATGGACCAGGCCATGGGGGCATTGACCTCCAAAACCCCCTCCAGATATACCCTCTCCTGCCTTCCACTCCAGATTTATGCACCCTCATCATCCTATCCCTCTCCATCCTCTCTCCCTACCCAAACCTCAACAACCCCTCCTCAGCCCTCTGGATTTTACCCTCAGTAACCCCACATTGTCTTTTAATTTCTATTCTGGTACATTCCCATTTTGCCTTTACTTAATAGTCACATGCAAGGAAGGATGATACCTACAAGCAATTAATATGTAAAATGTTATTCATATATAGTATGACAGATGAATTTCTTGTTTACAAATTAACATAATACATAAAAAAAAAGTTTAAACTAACCTTGTCTGAATTCAGTGGAATGAGAGTGTGGGTAGGGGTAGTCTGGACACCCTCTAACCTCTGGTGGGAGTGGCGGCCACTCTGTGAAGGAAGCACCACCACCCATGCTGCTGGTGGCTGTACCAGGTGTTGTTGTCAGTTCCACCTCATTACCACTACTTGAACGACCCACAGATATTTCCCTAAAAGGTTAAAATGCATGATATCAGTTATCAACAGTAACTTTGCTAGCCACCAGATGTACTTCAAGATGATGTAAATCTTATTTTTAGATTTTAGTGGGCTTAGTGCTTAGTTATGATAATAATAATATGAGATTTTAGACTTTGGTTAACTTTACCTAAAGAACTGATCTAATTAAATTACAATAAGCTATCTGAAGGAACTTTACCTCCAGTAAAATCTGGATTATTCCATTTTTTTGTATTGCTCTCTAACATCTTAATAACAAATGATGATTTGTCTGTATTTATACTGCATTATTCCAGGCAAGACCTTGTTTATATTCTTTGCTAGTTTCTTTAACTGCTATTTACTGTGTTGGTATAAACCTTGGTAATAAATACCGACAAGTTGGTTTAGAAAGACACGAAAGCAAACACTATAACATATTTATTAGAAAACGTTTCGGTCCTGGGACCTTGATCACTTCTAACATACAGAGGTAGAAAGACATTATATATATAGGCGGAGAGTGAGGTCACGTGCGTCACATCTCACTCTCCGCCTATATATATAATGTCTTTCTACCTCTGTATGTTAGAAGTGATCAAGGTCCCAGGACCGAAACGTTTTCTAATAAATATGTTATAGTGTTTGCTTTCGTGTCTTTCTAAACCAATTTACTGTGTTAAATACGTCTACAGGAGCACTTGAATCATTTAAAATATTTTCTTGTACAGTACTGGTTTTGCTGTTAAAAGTGAAGTATTTGCCATATGCTGGAAATGGGCAACATGGATGTATATTGGGAATGAGTAACATGAGAGGCATTAGTACCTCAAGATGCATGCATGCATGCATACACACACACACACACACACACACACACACACACACACACACACACACACACACACACACACACACACACACACACAGGACTCGACCCCTGCAACCACAAATAGGTGAGTACACACACACACACACACACACACACAACATGCACACACACACACACACACACACACACACACACACACACACACACACCATGCACACACACACACACACACACACACACACACACACACACACACACAGAAAAGTATGGAAGATTAAGTGAAATAGAGAGAGAGAAAAAAATAGAGCCAAAAAAGAGGGCCAGATTTGTTCTTTTGTGGTTTTTTATCACTGGCAAGAATAACTAAGTGCTAATGTTCCTTATCAATTTTATAGCTAAATTCATTCAAAATGTAAGATGGATTACAATGAGACATTTTAGGTTACCACAAACTGAAACCCCTCACACCAGGCAAAGGTGATGCCTAACATGACCCTTGAAAAATCTGGGCTAAACAAAAGAAATAGAAAAGCCTATGACAAGCAGTGAATATGGAAATGGATTTTACATAACAGAACACAAGATGTTTGAATAAAAAAGAGCATATATGAAAGACATGTTATGGCCTTTACTACTGCATATTGTTGACTGGCATTATGATCATGGACTGAGAAGAGCATACTGCTGACAAGTATAAAGACAAAGGCAAAAGTTGCATAATAAGCTTTTACTGGGACAATACAAACTTTTATTGGGATGATGTTTCACTCTGTGTAGAGCTCATCAGAGGGAAACAATGTCCCAGTAAAAGTTTGCTCTACAACTTGTGTTGTGATGACCGAGGATGGATAAAGAGCTGCCAATTTTCAGAGGGAACATGAATAAAATTCTGATAAATGAATAATGACATTAAGAATTTTGTCAGTATTTAAGTGTTGCTGACATAGTGGATGCCTTCATGCATGAAATCAAACAAATTTATACAAATAGTGACTACACAACACCCACCTTTAAAATCTTGTATAGCAACCACCTACCTTTATTCTACATGTAGTCTTGTATAGCAACCACCCACCTGCAGTCTTATATGTCAGCCACCCACCTGTAGTAACCTCTGTTTGTGGAGGCAATGGGCGTTGGTTTGATGACAAAAACTATGACGCCTGTTACCACCAGGATGTACGATAAGAAGTACAGTGGATGGAACTGAAAGATACAAAACAAGACTGTGAAATATGTTACTTTTTTCCCAAGCTATTAATTATTTTCCTGTTTTAAATTCCCTTAAAATTAGTTTTTCCTTTCATACCTTGTAAGCTCTCTCTACACAATATCAACCCTTTCAGGGTCAGCGGGCCCTGTCCTAAACTTGTTCTCAGGGTCAGAAATTTTTCGAATAAAAAAAAAAAATTTCTTATGAAATGACAGAGAATCTTTTCCGATCATTCTCTTCAAGTGGAGCTCCTTGTCATGGTGAGGAGGCTCTTAATCTGAGGAATTAGACCTGTTGGTCTCCTTCCTCAGACTGAACCTAATTACCCCCCCAATCCCCCCTTCCCTATCCCATCCTCCCTTTTTCCTTTCCTCCTCCTCTCCACCCCTCCCTTTTGCCCTTCCTCTTTTTGGCCTTTGGGATTTTTCCCACAGGCGCGCTAGTTCCTAGGTAGGGAAAGGGTACCGGAGTCCATCCCATTCCGTTGAGGTTCTTGGTGGTGGTGTTTACCTGGAGTTTACCTGGAGAGAGCTCCGGGGGTCAATGCCCCCGCGGCCTGGTTTGTGACCAGGCCTCATGGTGGATCAGAGCCTGATCAGTCAGGCTGTTACTGCTGGCTGCATGCAATCCAATGTATGAGCCACAGCCCAGCTGGTCAGGTACCGACTTTAGGTGCTTGTCCAGTGCCTGCTTGAAGACAGCCAGGGGTCTATTGGTAATCCCCCTTATGTATGCTAGGAGGCAGTTGAACAGTCTCAGGCCCCTGACACTTACTGTATTGTCTCTTAACGTGCTAGTGACACCCCTGCTTTTCATTGGGGGATGTTGCATCATCTGCCGAGTCTTTTGCTTTCGTTGTGAGTGATTTTCATGTGCAAGTTCGGTACTAGTCCCTCTAGGATTTTCCAGGTGTATATAATCATGTGTCTCTCCCGCCTGCATTCCAGGCAGTACAGGTTCAGGAACTTCAAGTGCTCCCAGTAACTGAGGTGTTTTATCTCCGTTATGTGCGCCGTGAAGGTTCTCTGCACATTTTCTAGGTCAGCAATTTCACCTGCCTTGAAAGGTGCTGTTAGTGTGCAGCAATATTCCAGCCTAGAGAGAACAAGCGACATGAAGAGTGTCATCATGGGCTTGGCATCCCTAGTTTTGAAGGTTCTCATTATCCATCCTGTCATTTTTCTAGCAGATGCGACTGATACAATGTTATGGTCCTTGAAGGTGAGATCCTCCGACATGATCACTCCCAGGTCTTTGACGTTTGTTTTTCACTCTATTTTATGGAAGGAATTTGTTTTGTACTCTGATGACGTTTTAATTTCCTCATGTTTACCATATCGGAGTAATTGAAATTTCTCATCGTTGAACTTCATATTGTTTTCTGCAGCCCATTGAAAGATTTGGTTAATGTCCGCCTGGAGCCTTGCAGTGTCTGCAATGGAAGACACTGTCATGCAAATTCGGGTGTCATCTGCAAAGGAAGACACGGTGCTGTGGCTGACATTCTTGTCTATGTCAGATATGAGGACGAGAAACAAGATGGGAGCGAGTACTGTGCCTTGTGGAACAGAGCTTTTCACCGTAGCTGCCTCAGACTTTACTCTGTTGACTACTACTCTTTATTTTCTGTTTGTGAGGAAATTATAGATCCATCTACCAACTTTTCCTGTTATTCCTTTAGCACGCATTTTGTGCACTATTACACCATGGTCACACTTGTCAAAGGCTTTTGCAAAGTCTGTATATATTACATCTGCATTCTTTTTGTCTTCTAGTGCATCTAGGACCTTGCCGTAGTGATCCAGTAGTTGGGACAGGCAGGAGCAACCTGCTCTAAACCCATGTTGCCCTGGGTTGTGTAATTGATGGGTATCTAGATGGGTGGCAATCTTGCTTCTTAGAACCCTTTCAAAGATTTTTATATGGGATGTTAGTGCTATCAGTCTGTAGTTCTTTGCTATTGCTTTACTGCCCCCTTTGTGGAGTGGGGCTATGTCTGTTGTTTTTAGTAACTATGGGACGACCCCCGTGTCCATGCTCCCTCTCCATAGGATGGTAAAAGCACGTGATAGGGGCTTCTTGCAGTTCTTGATGAACACGGAGTTCCATGAGTCTGGCCCTGGGGCAGAGTGCACTGGCATGTCATTTATTGCCTGTTTGAAGCCATTTGGCATCAGGATAACATCAGATAGGCTTGTGTTTACCAAATTCTGTGGCTCTCTCATAAAAAATTCACTTAGATCTTCGACTCTCAGTCTGATTAGCGGCTAGCTAAAAACTGAGTCATATTGGGATTTGAGTAGCTCACTCATTTCCTTGCCGTCATCTGTGTAGGACCCATCTTGTTTAAGTAGGGGCTCAATACTGGATGTTGTTCTTGACTTTGATTTGGCATAAGAAAAAAAATACTTTGGGTTTCTTTCGATTTCATTTATGGTTTTTAGTTCTTCCCACAATTCCTGACCCCTATAAGATTCCTTTACCTTTAGTTCGATGTTTGCTATTTCTCTGACAAGTGTCTCCCTACGCATTTCAGATATATTGGCCTCTTTCAGCCGCTCTGTTATTCTTTTCTGTTGCCTTTAATGGGAGCGCCTGTGGCTACCCAGGTTTTCCCATGGCCTGGATGTTTTGTATCTTTTTGTCCCCTTTATATGGTGTGCCTGGCAATTTAAGTTATAGCACAGTCTTTCCTGTACTGAAGAGGGACACATTTCAGGGTGGAAAAGCTTGCAGGAAGGGAGTTTGCATTTTCCTTTTGTCATATGGGCACGGCATTTTCTAGGGTGGTCAAAGTTGCATGTCCCATCTATTTTTCCAGATTTCCCATGCCTGCAGATACCAAGTGCATAATATGTGCACAGGCTTGGTTTCCGTTTGCCTTGGGTTTTTGTGACTGTATTACCTGTTGGTGCATGTTTTCCTTGTCTCATTCCTATCCTCACTAGTACTAACAATGGAGCTCTCACCAGTTGTTTCTGGTAATATATCCTCACTATTGCTAGTGGAGTCCCCTTGTTTGCTATCTCCTGTGGTATTACTAATTTGTAATATTGGCTTTATCTTGTCCTTGACTACACTTAGTTTCCCCACTACATCTCCTGTCTCCCTCGAGGCCATTTATATGCATTCCCTCATGCATACATTTACTGTTTACCTGGACAGCACCTCCAGCCTCACCATTACTGTCTACCTGGACAGCACCTCCAGCCTCACCATTACTGTCTACCAGGACAGCACCTCCAGCCTCACCATTACTGTCTACCTGGACAGCACCTCCAGCCTCACCATTACTGTATACTGACAGCCTCGACTCACTTGTCGATAGCACTCCAGCCTCACCATTACTGTCTACCTGGACAGACCTCCAGCCTCACCATTACTGTCTACCTGGACAGCACCTCCAGCCTCACCATTACTGTCTACCTGGACAGCACCTCCAGCCTCACCATTACTGTCTACCAGGACAGCACCTCCAGCCTTACAGTTTCTGACTACATGGCCAGCACCTCCAGTCATACAGTTACTGTCAGCCAGGACAGCATCCGCACCAAGGGCGGTACCATCCAGCCCAGACTTTTTATTTCCCCATCTGTTACAGAATGCTTCCAGGTTTTCTATGAAGGCTGCTTTGATGTTATCCTCTTTTAATACCAATGTGATTTTAGTCCACAGATTGATCTCATTTGGGCATGCCCAAAAACACTTCCCTGATTTAATAATGCTTGTAGATAATTCTTGGATATCTGCACAAGGGGCGTGACACCAACTTTCACAAAAGTGGCATGTAATCCATGTGGAAGCCCGTTTGTTTGATTTACTGCAGACTACACAGAATTTCATAATGTGATTACAATGGTTGATTTACTGTAATTCTACTAGTAACCCCTTGAATATTCTACTAATAGCCTCCTTAACATGAAGATCTGGCTATTTGTATTTCTATTTCTAACTGTACTTGTATATTAGGGCAAGCTTACCACTCTACGTTTCTGCTTTATAGTTATTGTTTGTGTTTGATAAGGGCACCTAATATCCCGTCTGTTTATAGTTTCTTTATTGTCCAACGAATCCGTTTGAAACCGGTCAAGGGTTCGGAACCGGTCAAGGGTTCGGAACCAGTCAAGGGTTCGAAACCAGTCGGATCTGATCAGTGGATCACTTATTTAAAAAATATCTGGTCGGTGATTTGGGCTAACACATGAAGGAACTACTGGAAATTATTTAACCGAGTAATATGTGATTAGATTGATACGAAAGTATAACTTGAGTGTTGAAGAACCGGTGATTGCTGGCAGCTCCTACAATGACGAACGGTCGAGGCCTCAACCCTTATTTACAGCCTGAAGGTTTATAGATCACTCTATCTAGCTTTTCTAGATTTTTTCCATCACCACAACAAATGCTATGTTATCACTATAGTTGGCTGGTGAAGATTATAGTTTGCCGAGGAATCTGGATCGCCTGGAGCTGTCCCAATCCCTCTCCAGTCTCCTGGGGGGGGGTGGCTTTGGGTGTCTTTCAGGCGACGGGTGTATCTCTGGAGGCTGCCTTTTGGATTTCGGGGGTGGTGGCCGAAGGAGGTATGCTTTGTGGCGGATATCCAGCCACCCTCTCTTTTGTCCACTGAGGTAGCTCGGCAGATGTGAGGTTGCTATCCCGGACTGCTGGTTTACTGGCATGAAGGGTAGGGTATGGCACGGGTTCCATGCTGCATTTGCGCTACTTGCAGTGCTGAGGTCCTCTTGGGTGTGGAGGGGAGATTTCTGGCCCTTTCATTCCTCCTAGGAACTATCCCTTCCCATTCCTCCCTTTTTTATTCTTTTTTCTTTTTATTTTCTTTTCTTCTTTTTTTCTTAAAAACAAAATGAAGGAAGTAACCTAACCATGGAAGCCCTAATCCATGAACCTGCTACCCCCGGGCCCCTCCTTGATACCACACCCCATTCTGACCCTGCCTCGTTTTTTGACCACTCTTCAGCCACTCCTGATG